AAGAACAAGCAAGTGAACCTCTCAGAAAAGAGCTAATGCTTTTTTAAAAAGGCTTATCATTATTATTTTTGTGTGTGCACTCCATGTTTTAATTCACACACAGGGCTGGAGAGACAGCTCAAGGGTGAAGAGCACTGGCTGCTCTTCCAAAGGACCCAGGTTCAAATCCCAGATTCTACATGGGGGCGCCAAATTCGAATACACATGCACTACCCTTGGTGGCCAGAAGAGGGTATCAGATTCCCCATGACTGGAGTTACAGATGCTGGGGAGCTAAAGGGTGCTGGGAACTGAAGCTGAGCAGCAAGTGCTCTTAATGGCTGAGTCATACCTCCAGCCACAGAGCTGGATCTTAATGGCTGAGTCATACCTCCAGCCACAGAGCTGGTGCTGTAAAACTTCATCAGTAACCAGGCCTTGTTGAGTGGGCCATGGTGTTAATGGTGAGCTTGAAGATGTATAAGTGAGAGTGTGCGCAGGAGAGGAGGCCTTTCGGTGAAGAAAAAAAGGTTATACCAGAAAACATAATTCCACCTGTACTTCTTCACCTCGGGTATATTTTTAAAGTTAGGAGCTCTTCATCTCTTTACCTAAGAAAGCCATGTCAATCTGTATCAGACTTCTTTGGTAAAATGAGACAAAATTTCTGGGCCATGCTCATAACTCATCACTTCTTTCTTTCCTTCTTTCTTTCTTTCTTTCTTTCTTTCTTTCTTTCTCATTTCAAGACAGGGTTTCTCTATGTAACATTGACTTTCCTGCAACTCACTCTGAGGACCAGGCTGGCCTCAAACTCACAGGGATCCTCCTGCCTCTGCCTCCCAAGTGCTGGGATCAAAGGCATGTGCCACTACCGCCCCGCCTAATTCATCATTAAAGCATCTATATTAATTTTATAAATTTTGACTTAGTATTTTGTAGAGACAGATGTCGAACTAGTATGAAAATTAATTCAAACCTGTGAAGATACTCATTAGCTATGATTACAGCCTGTCCATGACTCATGGCTGAAACAAATATGGGTGTTTTGTTGTTTTTTGTTTTAAGATAGGATCTCAATATATAGCCCTGGGTGTCTTGGAACTCAGAGATCCTTCTGTCTCCGCCTCCAATGGTTTTTCTTCCTCCCTGTCTTTGTCTTTGTTTTTTCCTAGACAGGGTCTTGATGGGGAATGTACTGTGTATGTTTATCTTATTGATTGTTAAATAAAATACTGTTTGGCCAATGAGACAGCAAATTAGATGGGACCATGAGTCAAAGAAGATTCTGGGAAATGTAGTAGAGAAGTGGTGATCCAGGCAGGAAGTGACATAGCAAGGAGACTTATATTTAAGCGAAGGAGAAACAGGAAGGGCCCCTCTTTCCCCTTTGCCTCCAGCGGCAGGTTATGAGCCATCAGCAAGAAGGGACGCCAATAAGGCATCCGATAAGTCTTATAAAATATATAGATTTATGATAATTAAGACTGAGCTAACAGATGAGAATCTTAGTCATTGGCCAAACAGCATTGTACCTAATATGTCTCTGAATTATTTTGTCCATCTACTAGGTGGACAGAACGCGGGCGGCTGGCAGAGACCACCCACATGGTGGTAGGGCTCGGGCGGCTTTTGGCGGAAAAATTTATCATAACAGGGTCTCTCTGTGTAGTCCTGGATATCCTGGAACTCACTCTTTGGACCAGGCTAGCCTCAAACTTAGAGACCTGCCTGCCTCTGTCTCTTGAGTGCTGGAATTAAAGGTTTACACCAACTGGTTTTTCTTCTATTTACAGATTCTTACTATGGTGTTGGTAAATGTAAAGCACTTGAAAGTCATCTGTATTTTTTTTTTAAGCAATAGCTTAGTAATAAGGTGAAATAATCAACTTATAAACTGTATGTCCCTAGACTTGATTTGGAGAGGTCATTTTATCTTCACAAAGACAGCTAGCCACTGAAACCATCAGAAAAGCAATGAAGGGCTCATTGAACTTCATATCCCATTTTTAACAATAACCAAAGCAATACTACCACAATGAAGTGTTAAGTCCTGAGAACACCGGTCATCTTGTTCCACTTATGCTAGAGATCAGCACATTGCAGGAAGAATGTAATTTCTCAAACGTCAGGACTCAGGGGGGTAGAGATGGCTCAGAGGTTAAGCATGTGTACAGCTCCTGCAGAGGACCAGAGTTTGGTTTCCAGTACCTACCACAGGCTGCTCACAACTGCCTGTAACTCCAGAAGGGGCTCTGACCCCAGGGGTACTGCATGTGTATGCACATACCCACACACACATACAATTAAAAACAAAATAGAGGGCTGGAATGATGGCTCAGCAGTTAAGAGCACTGGCTGCTCTTCCAGAGGTCCTGAGTTCAATTCCCAGCAATCACATGTCGGCTCACAGCCATCTGTAATGAGATCTGGCGCCTTCTTCTGGCCTGCAGGTACACATGCAGATCACTCACACATAAAAAATAAATAAAAAATAAAATAAAATAAATCTTTAAAAAGTCAGCACTCAGAAGTTTCAAGAAAAACAAAACCAGATCTTTAAACATTAAGAAACGTAGCTCTCACAAAAGTAACGCCTGAGAACACAGGGTCACATTGTCCTGAACATTGGCAGGCAGCCCCCACCCTGCATTCAGTCTCCTGCAACTGTTCAAGTTTGCACACGAAGAGACATTAGCTACAAAACTCACTGTCACTTCATTTTTCTAAAACTGTGAAGGTATATATTACAGGATTACCCAAAGGTAGATGGAAAAGACCTTGCCTTGCCTTGCACTGTATGAAATTGTCTTGTATGTCAAAATTAAAGCATTGTATTTTTTAATGTACTATTTTCTCCCACCCCAAAGCACTGTATTTTTCAAAAAGTTTAAGTCAATGACAACCTACATTAGAGACACTGTTTTCTACCAACAGGACATTAAATTCTAATATTCAAAAATTCATTTTAATGTCTACATACATCATTCAAATCCTATCGTTAACTACTTCTTATTTGGGGAATTCTGTCTCTTATTAAATAATGGCCTAGGGATGTGGATAGTTGACAAAGTTCACAGTCTAAGTCAGTCAACTGTGCTTTGGTGCTTTGAGAAATGTGAGGTACAGACCTACGGTGTCAAAGTATGGTTTCTGTTCATTAGCAAGAAGTTTTTTTTTTAATTTAAAACATCTTTTTAATGGAGCTGAAGAGATGGCTCAGTGGTTAAGAGCACTGACTGCTCTTCCAGAGGACGTGGGTTCAATTTCCAGCACCCACAGCTCACAACTGTCTATAACTCCAGTTCTAGGGGGCCCAACATCCATGTCAAAACATCAAAGCACATTAAAAAAAATACCTTTTTAGCTTACTCGTGTGTGTGTGTGTGTGTGTGTGTGTGTGTGTGTGTGTGTCACCTGCATGTGTGTCTGTGTACTACATGCATGCTTGGAGTAGGGGTCAGAAAAAAGCATGTAGGATCCTCTAGAAAGGACTGGAATTATAAATGGTTGTGAGCTGCCACATGGGTGCTGGGATTCAAACTTGGGTCCTTCAGAAAAGCAGTTCTCTTAACTGCTGAGCCATCTCTTCAGCCCAATGTCGAAAATCTTCACACAGTTTTAAGTTCCTTGATAATGCATGGCTGCTGTCACTTTCACTCTTCTCCATCTCTTGAAGCTTACTGTAGTAATTATCTGATCACCACAGTAGTCAGAGTTTTGCATTTTTAAATGTTTTCACTGCATTTTAAAGATGCTTTTACATGTATCTGTGTATGCCTGAGTTGTATGTGGGTACCTTGTGTGTGCAGAGCCCACAAGGGCCAGAAGAGGACATCAGATCCCCTGGAACCGGAGACACAGGCAGTTGTGAGCTGACAAATCTGGGTTCTGGGAATTGAAACTAGGTCTTCTGCAAGAACAGCAAGGGCTCTTGTCTGCAGAGCCAGGCCACCAGCCCCACAGCCAGGCTACCAATCCCACATTTAGAACTTTTTAGGGCCACACTGATAATGAATGAATGGCAAAGCATTATTGGGGATGGTTATTAACCCTCCACCGTTGTCTAAGTTGCTACCTACTGTATTACAGACCATTTGTTTATTCTGGTCACAGGCTGTGATCTGCTCCTAAAGTATGTGTGTGTCATTTGGATCTTATAGCATCCTTCCAGAGGAAAGATCCTCTCCAGTGCATTCTCACACAGTCCCTAGTTAAGCAGAAACGACTAAACCTGAAGCACAGTTCCAAGTAAGTTTTGGCTTTGGCTCTTCACTGGCCTTTACTTAAATCGGATTTTGAATTTCCCTTAGGTTCCTTATGCAAGCTCAGATCTCCAGAACATTCCTCAAGCCACGACTGCTTAGTTCTCAGGGCAGCAGAGCACAAAGCAGTGCAAGACCACACTGCTGCTGCTTTCTCTCTCTGGGCAGTCTGTCCCATTAAAAACCATGTAGAAGGAAGAGTTCACAGTCTAAAGTTTCTGCATTTTCATACGGAGAGCATTAACAAAAAACAACCAAGAGCATAATGCCAGCAAAATTCTAAACGGCACCCTTGGAAACATTCGTTATGCCAATTTTACTAACACCAGTGAGCTGATATTAGCAATTTCATGAGGCACAGCCCACCAGTTAATTAGCAAATACTACTGGGAAGAGACTATATGCTATGATCCATGGCTGTCTTGTACCTACAGAGATATCCTGGAAAGACTGATTTGAACAATGAAATTCACAGATTTCAAAGACCCTAGCAGAGGAAAGACCAAGTGTCAAATTCTAACATTAAAATAAAATTTAAAAAAAACACTAAAATCCATTAAACATACCCCCCTATTATCGATATACAGATTTTATGCAGATAACATGTTAAATCAATCTACTCTTAAACCAAATGTGTACTGTCATATGGTCAAAATAAAGCGCTGAAATAGACATTTTTTAAATGACTAACTCTTAAAGGTTAAAACTTGCCTACCTTTGTCATATATTATTTTGAAGCTCCAAGAGGCTTTTAGGTTTACGATAAATAACAATGAACATTTATTTATAAGTATCTCTACAGCACCCCCCCCACACACACACATTAATCTCATTTAAGACAAAAAACAAAACAATAAAATGAAACGTCACGTCAGTAAGAACTAAGATGTAATATTTCTGTATGTGCCATTTCCAAAATGTCAAACATTAAAATCCTATGTCACCAAATCTCTGTTCTACACAGAGAAATGAACCACATTAGGTGACAGCCGTGGTTAGGCGTCACCGCTCACGGCCGGTGGACCGAAGGCCTCTCTAGTGCGCATTAGCTGGACATCCTTGTCAGCCATGCAGGTGTCACAGCCCCACACCGCGGAGGCCTCGGCCGTCAGGAGCCCATAGGCTGTTTCGGTCATTCCGGTGCAGATGCGGTGAAACCATTTCTGACAAGAGGCCTCACACAGGATGGCGTCCTGATCGTCATTCACTTCATTTGTACAAATCCCACACGGGTACACCGGGTCAGAAGATGAATGGCCGTGGCGGCCGGGGTGCAGGGAGAACTTGCGGCTTTTGTCGGTGGTGCACAGGTCGGCTGCGCCCCTGGGCTGCCGTGGCTTGCTCTGGGTCCCATTGGCGTGGCTGTTGGTGGCCTCTGCGCTACCCGAGCGGCTGTTCTCTTGCACGGCATTGTTTCTGTTGACATTTTTTAATTCCACGCCACTCTGATTGACTGTGTCCTCCATATTTAAGTGAGGTGGGTGAGCAGAGGAATTCTGATTCGTGGTTTTGGTTGCCCCTTGAGTAAAGTCTTGTTTGGAAGGTGGCGCTTTTGCTTGACCAAACGCGTTCGGGGGTGGGATAAAAGAATGATTCGATTCTAACGGAGAGGTAAAATGTGAATTATTTCCAGGGACAAAATTAGATGCCAGGTCAGCGTTAGATACTTGGCCAGCATTCTGTGGGGGAATCTGACTGAAGTTTTCGGCAGAGCTTTGTCTAAAGTGCTGACCAGGCATGTTCATGTCCTGAGTCAGCACGTTATTGTAAGGTGGGTTTCCAAAATTCGGATTCTCGTGTGGCCCAAAGTTAAAAGCATGCGGCCGGTTAAAGCCCATGCCCAAAGGGTTCTGAGGAAACGGATGTGGTTGATTCCTGAGTGAGTAAGGACCACAGTAGGGGGAAGACATTCTTGGGGGCACGTGGGGTGGCATTCTGAATGTGCTGTAGCCTCCAAAGCCAGGATAACCAGGGCTAAGGTAGGGATTGGACGAAGGCAGTGGTTTATAGGAAATAGTGTTATAGTTGTCATCGAAGGGATTGGCAGCCACTAGGTGGTCGGAGTTTGGGTTTGGTGGTGGTGCATACTCAGACAATGGAGGATAGGAAGGTCCCTGCAAGAGAACGTAAAGGAAAACACAGACAGTCTTCATGCAAGAGGTCAGTATAACAGATGGTCTCAGAACCCAGAACCTGGCTTTGGTCACCTTTCTCTTACAGTACTAAGCAAATTTAGTATTTTCAGTTGTCCTTCCCAGTGTTTACATTTAATTATACTTGATAGAAAAAAATACATGGGGCTGGAGAGATGGCTAAGTGGTTAAGAGCACTGACTGCTCTTCTAGAGGACCCAAATTTGGAGCCCAGCATGTGGAGCACAGCCATCTGTAACTCCAGCTTCAGGGGTTCTGTCGCCCTCTTCAGGCCTCTACCAGCTCCTGCACTCTGGTGCACATACCCACAGCAGTCACACGCATATACAAATAATTTAAAATAAATTAAAATCATTTCTTAAATACAGGTTTCCTCTCATTAAGGGATGGAAATGAGGCATGCTTTTCTAGTTCAAAACCATTGCTAGAAGACCTGGGCTCCATTCCCAGCACTCATGTGGGGGCTCACAACTGCCTGGAACTCTGGAACCAAGGGATCTGATGTTGGGTTCACAGGCACCCAACATACATGTGGTACACAGACATATATGCAAACCAACACTCATACACATAAAACAAAAATAAATACGTCAGTCATTTTTTAAAAGCCTACCACAACTTTCCTGTGTGTGCTTGTCTGTAGCTAAATTCTCTCTTAAAACTAAAGTATTCTAATCGCAACTCTTCTTAGACCCCACATAGCAATAAAGCTAGATAATGATAAACAGATTCCAAGTGTTTTTTTCTTAATGTCAAGAGAGCCATAATTAAAGCATTCTCCAAGTTTCTAATCTCTACATCTCTTAATAGAAAAATAATGGTTACATTTCAGATTTAACAGTGACCAAAATGAAAACAAAATATACTTTAGATTCCTATCAAAGTAACTCATTATCACTAGATACACAATTAAAAACAGTTTATAGCAAACAAAACCATAAGACAGGGCTGGAGAGATGGCTCTGGGGTAACAGCACTTGCTGTTCTGGCAGAGTATTGGGGTTTTTAGTTCCCAACACCCACATGGCACTGAAAACCATCTGTAACTCCAATTCCAGGTGATTCAGTGAGCCCTCTTCTGGCTTCCACGGGTACTACATACACAGTACGCAGACATCCAGGCAGGCAAACAAACACTCATAGACATATAAATAAAAACAAATAAATAAATTAAAAACCATAAAGGCCTATATTGTAATTTTATTACAACCACAAGTTACAACAAAGGAGACATCCACTATGATTATTTCATGATACCCACACAATATTGATTACTATAATAACAATAGTTACTTCAAGTTAAAATTACTTAAAAATCTTTAAATAGAACCACAGGTTAGACTAACATCATTGAATGCAGAACTCTTTTTATTAGGCTCTGAAGCAGACAGGAAGCAAAGCACATGGCCAGGTGTAAAAATTCACTGATCCACTTGATCACACCAACAAGTGAAAATTGTTGCTAAGGAAAACACTGGGGCTGGAAAGATTGCTCAGTGCTTAAGAGCACTTACTGCTCTTCCAAAGGACCTAAGTTCAGTTCCCAGCACACATTTCAAGTGGCTCACAACTCCCTGTAACTTCAGCTTTGGGAGCTAGGACACCCTCTTCTGGCCTCCCTGGGTGTCTGCCCTCACATACACATAGATACACAAATAGAAACAAACAGACAAAACAGATCTGAAAAATAAATAAAAACAAAATCTTAAGAGAAAAAAATAAAAGTCAACTTACCTGTGTGCTGGCCTTGCGTTTTTTCTTATCTGGGCTTCCTAGTTGTATATTTGGTCCTCCTAACCCATCCAGTCCACTGTCACCACCTACAAAAAAAAAAAAAAAAAAAAATCTGATAATATTCCCACTTGGAAGTGAAACTGTTTTATATATAGCTCATGGTAATTTATTTTGTTTTGTTTCAAGATACAGTGTAACAGCTCTGGCTGCCCTCGAATTTGCTTTGTAGACCAGGATGGCCTTGAACTCCCAGAGATCCACCTGCCTCTGCCTTCCGAGTTCTAGGACTAAAGGCCTGAGCCACCACCACCCAGGATATCTCATAGTAATATTATCAAAGCAACATACAAAGACAGGGAAAATTATGGGCTTGGGACACTGGGAAGGAGCCCTCCCCCAGGAATCAGCTGCTGTGGATCATCTTCTTTCCAAGCTGTAAACCTGCAGCCCTCAACCCCTTTGCTACTGTATTGGGTCCTGGTTCCCCTATCAAAGTATAATTTCACCCAAGGCATCTCTGGTGCATCCTACAATTTCACTTACAAAAGACAAAAGAGGGGCAGGAGAGATAGCTCAGTGGTTAAGAGCCCTGGCTGCTCTTCCAGAGGTCCTGAGTTCAATTCCCAGCACCCACATGGTGGCTCACAACCATCTATAATGAGATCTAGTGCCCTCTTCTGGCCTGCAGGTGTACATGCAGAGCATTGTATACATAATAAATAAATCTTAAAAAAAAAAAAAAACAAAGGAAAGGGATGAACATTAGGACTGCAGTCAACCTATTGAGACATAAGCTGAGAGCCACTTTTGTCCATTTGTTTCAGTTACGCATAGAATAGATGGAACAGGAAACCATGCTTATTTTTACTTCATGTGCATTAGGGTTTTTGCCTCCATGTATGTCTGTTTGAGGGTGTTGGATACACTGGATGTGGACTTACAGACAGTTGTGAGCTGCCATGTGGGTATGGGAATTGAACCCAGGTCTTCTAGAATAGCAGCCAGTGCTCTTAACCGATGAGCCATCTCTCCAGCCCCAAGCTCCTCTTTTCTCCTAACTTCCACACTTCAAGTCTACATTAACATAGCTTTAATAAAAATCTCCAACTATAGACCCAACCCTCTAGAGGTAGAGGCAGGCAGAGCTCTGTGAGTTCGAGGCCAGCCTGGTATCCATAACAAGTTCCAGGACAGCCAGGTCTACACAGAGAAACCCTGTCTCAAAAAACAAAAACAGAAACAAAAAACAAAAAACCCCAACTCTACTTCATGCCGATCAGTCCCGAAATTCTTTTCAGCATCAAAGCCACCAATCCCAGTTTGGCCAAAGTGGAGGTCCCTAAAAGGCTAAAGGACAGGAATCATCACTGAGACCACTGGCAAGATCTGTTTTATTTATCATTTTTGTTTTGTTCTTATTACTATTTTACGTGCGTGCCATAGGATGCATGTGGATGAAGGTCATATGGCTGCTTGAGAGAGAGTTGGTTCTCTCCACTGTGGAACCAGGGGATCAAATTCAGGTTGTTAGGCTGTGGCAAGTGCCTTTACCCACTGAGACATCTCACCAACAGCCAGTGTCTATTACACTTAACCCATTTAAGTTAACTGCTGTATTAGTCTCTTGCTATGAGAAAGTGCTTGACAAGACTTGGGAGGGGTGAGGCTGACTACCAGCTCACAGTTTCAGAGGCTCAGCTATGGCTGCTTTAACCATGCACTTGGTCACCATGGTGGTGGGGTGGAGGAAATGTTATACCTCAAGGATTTAAGCAAGATGCAGAGAGCAATTAAGAAACAGAGTAAGGTGGATCTCTGTGAGTTCGAGGACAACCTGGTATATAGAGTAGGTAGACCAGGACAGGCTCCAAAGCTACACAGAGAAACACTGGAGAGAGAGAGAGAGAGAGAGAGAGAGAGAGAGAGAGAGAGAGAGAGAGAACAATGTATCTAAAATTTTAATGATTACTGTGGGGGGGCACCATATATTCAGACAGACAGACAGACAGACAGACAGACAGACGACAGAGACAGAGACAGAGAAAGAAAGGATCAGTACAGCTCTCAAATGCACAGCCTCTCTAGACCTCACCCCCAAGACAGCACTCCCAGCTAGGGACCAAGAGTTCAACAATATAGCACAGCCACATAGTTCCAAATCTCAAGGTCTCTGAGGGTTCAACTCTACAGGGTGGTTCCTCCAACCCTCCAGGTTCCAGTGACCCCAACTTTCATTTTTTTTTTTTTGTTCACCAAATCCTGAATGTGGAAGTTGTTTTCTGCAGTTATGTCTCTATGTTCACAACAATTTGCTTTTTGGTTAGCTCTTCTTTCTGTCTGTCTTTTTTTTTTTTTAATTTTAGATAGTGTCTCAGGCTGCCCTTGAGCTTACAGTCCTCAGCCTTCCCTGCATCATACACCTGGAGCTTCAGAACAACACTCATTTAGTCCATTCCTTACATAAAACTACATTGTAAGTTAAATTAAAGGTCATGGAGATGGTTCAACAGGGGAAGGATTCCCAGCACCTACATCATGGAACAAGACAATCAGCTCCCTCCGGCAAGTTGTGCTTTGATCTTCACATAGGTGCTGTCATTCACACACACCACACACCACACACACACACACACACACACACACACACCAAATACACACCACATAAACCAGACATATATACACACATCACACACACCATACCACACACATACACATATACCACATACACCAGACATATATACATACACCACACATACACAAATAAATAAATGTAATAAACTAAATTATAGGTATAATGAGTATTTCCCTGTCTGGAAGGTGTAAGGTTCCTGATTTCACAGGCTGTGTTCCCTTGGTATGATGTGTTTTTGTTTCCTATAAGTTGGAAGACAAGGTATTTGTGCATATTAAGTTCCTGTTTTCACAAGTTTGCCAAACACATTGTGATCTATTCTTCCATCAGCAGGCAAGGCATTTCTGTTGTGTTTTTAAACATGTGTGGCGTTCAGAGGACAACTCTCAGAGGTCGGTTCTCTACGGCAGCCTTGTGGGATCCTGGGACCACACTGGGGTCCTTGGCCCCCCTGTTCATAAGCACCTGGACCTGCTGGGTCACCTCACTGACCTTTATACTTGCTGTAATTTCCTGTAGTGCAAATTAATACATCTGACTATTTAAAACAATGACCACTTCAGTAGGGGCTGTAGCTCAAAAGCTGAGCACAAGCAAGGCATTGGGTTAGATCACCATGAAGCCCATTTAAACAAATGGGGAGAATACATCCTGACTCATTCCATTAGGCTGAGATTACCTTGATACCAAAACCAGAAAAAAAAAATAACACAGAAAAAAAAGCAAAATAAACAAACAAAAACCTACATACAACACCTATTAGAATAATTGACAGGCCAGGTGGGGGAGGCGCATGCCTTTAATCCCAGCACTAGGAAGGCAGAGATAGGCCCGATCTCTTTGAGTTTGAGGCCCCTGTCTCAATAAGGAAACAAAAAGAAAACCAAAACAAAACATTTTGACACAAACCATTTCAATACAATGCTATCAACTGAATTTAGTAGAGTATCAAAAGGCCACATCATGATACAGTAGGATTTTCACCAGAAATACAAAGTTGCCTCTGAACAGACAAAAATTAAACCATGTAATAAACTACTTTAGAATAAAGGGGGGAAACCTCACATGATCATGTCAACACATGATGTGGACAAAACTTAACAAACCTAAAATATTTTCATCATCATCATCATCCAGCCAGGTCTGGTAAGCCACACCTGTAACACCAGAATTTGAAGTCTGAGGCAGGTTTCAAGACAGCCCAGGCTTCAGACTGAGACCTTGTCTCAAACCAAACCAAATAACAGAGTAGAACTTTCCTTCTTTTGTATTTTGTTTTTTTGAGACAGGGTTTCACTGTGTAGCCCTGGCTGTCCTAGAACTTACCTCTGTAGACCAAGCTGGCCTTGAACTCAGAGATCCCCTTGCCTCTGCCTCCTGAGTGCTGGGATCCAAGGTATGTACCACCAACCACATCCTGGTTAATAAATCATTTTTTAAAAGACCATCACCACACAACCAGGTGCAGATCTCTGTGAGTTCAAGGCCAGTCTGGTCTACATAGTGAGTTTCAGGAAAGAAGGAAGGAAGGGAAGAAGGGAGAGAGGAGAGGGAGGGGAGGAGAGGGGAAGGCAGAGAGAGAGAGAGAGAGAGAGAGAGAGAGAGAGAGAGAGAGAGGGAGAGGGAGACACAAAATTCAATATATGTGATGCTGAAGAACAAACCCAGGACTTCATGCTCACTACGCAAGTACTCTACTGAGCTACAAGGCCCCCAACTCCATGGGGTTTTGTTGTTGTTTTTTAAAGAGATTTATTTGTATCTTACTTTATTGTGTATGAGTGTTTTATTTGCATGTATGTGTACGTACCAAACATATGTGTTGCCCACATGGGCCAAGCAACCAACCTGCTTTAGCCTCCAAAATGTTGAAATTAAAGGCCTGAACCATCATACTGGCTCTTACTACCAATCTCTGAGCTGTTCACCATTATCTTCTCTTCCATAAAATGTGTGATAGTTTGAATAGCAAAGGTTCCAGTAGGCTCAGGGGGAGGGACACTATTAAGAAGTGTAGCCTTGTTGGAGTAGGTGTGGCATTGGAGGAAGTGTGTCACTGGGGGTGGGCTTTGAGGTTTCAGATGCTCAAGCCAGACCCAATGTCACTCTCTCTTCCTGCTGCCTTCGGATCCAGATGTAGACATCTCAGCTCCTTCTCTAGTACCATGTCTGCCTATATGCTGCCATGCTTCCAGCCATGCTGATAATGAACTAAACTTCTGACCTGTAAATGAGCAACAATTAGATGTTTTCTTTTGCAAGAGTTGCTGTGGTCTTGGTATGTCTTCACAGCAATAAAGCCCTAACTAAGACAAAATGCTCTCCTGTTTGATGGCTCATTTAGTTCTAGCTTCTGTTACATTGATTCTAGCAGTATAATCTAATATTAAGAATTATTGGGGGCTAGAGAGATGGCTCAGAGGTTAAGAGCACCGACTACTCTTCCAGAGATCC